GGATTCATGTTTAAACAAGGCTAAAATGGTGACAGGAGGACACTTCTCCCCCACTCCCTACCACATCTCAGGGTGAGAGGACTTTTCCTTGTGTTACTGTTAGGAAAAGTATTAAGAAGCTCTAAGAGCCCAACCCCTAGCAGAGTCAGCTAACCATGACAGGTCAAAAGGTCGCTTTAAACATTCCTGAGAGGCAGGAACCAAGATAAACGTCTGGTGTGGAACAGACCCTACCCCTTTGAACAATCCATGGTCCCACTTCCCTGAAGTCCTCATCCTTTGTAACTGAATGTTCCCGTAATTGACTCCTTTCTCGGAATTGCCCCTAACCTATAGCTTGTGGTTTTTTCCTTTAAAAACTGTGTCTCTACCCTGCTTCGGGGCTCAACTCCTCTGCCCCTGCGAGGGTTTTGAGCTGAGCCCCAGCGTGCTGGAATAAAGACCTCTTGTGTTTTGCATCAAGAATCGTCTCTCCGGGGTGTTTATGGTGCATCGCGGGGTCCCGGACTCAGAGTAGTGGGATTCCTCCCTGGGAGGATCTTGCATTACGATGTTACCAGGTTTTGGGTGCTGGAGTCTCCTAGAGGTAGTTTCTGGGTTCTTTCTGTCCTGAACAAAGAATTGGTCAAGAGAAGCACAAAAGTTGAAGAGGTTTTACATAAAGGTAGGAAAAGAAACACACTCCGCACAGTGAATTCGGGCCAACTAAAAGTAGGAAACAGCACACTGTTCAGGGTGAGAGCCGGCCACTGTGAAAGACAGCACAGGGCCAAGAGCTCACTGGTGGCTATTTTTTGCATCTCCCACTCCTCAGGCTGATGTCAGGTCTAGGCCATCCTATCAACACTTGCTCCAGTTCTGCAAGAAGAGTTAAAGAAAGCACTCTCTGATTGGTTCCACAAGCAGGGCGGGGCATGTGCTGGAGTTCCGTGACCAGCAGGTTAAGGCCCACTTCTCCAGCCAGTGACCCCCATCCCCCATCTCTTACCTCAAACTGCCGGGGTCTGAGGAGACTCCCAGAGTGAGGTAAGGAGCCTAACCCGCCCTACTCAGAATAAGGTTACAAGTTTGCTGACTACTGTTAGAGAAAGAGCTACCAGGACTTAGGTTTTTAAACAGGAGGAGAAAAAAGGAAGCTTTGTGTGTGTGCGCGTGCAACTACATCCTGAAAGAAATAAGTTCAAGACAGAGAGAGTGAGAGAGGTTTTCTTGGATTTGTGCTTCTCTTGAGGGGGTGAAAGTGCCTTTCCCCAAGAAAGGTACTGTCCTATATTACAGGCATGAGCCTAGTTTTGTTTGGTTTTGTCTTGGTACCGGGGATGGAACTCCAATAGAACTTGGGTCCTTGCACTTTTGAGGCAAGCGGTGGCACCACTGAGCTCTAAATCCCAGGCCCCTAGTTTTGTTTTTTGTTTTTTTTTTTTTGTTTTTGGTACTGGAGATTGAACTCAGGCCCTTGCTCTTTCAAGGCAGGCAGTGGAACCACTGAGCTAAGTCCCCGGCCGGACCGATGGCATTCATTCATCATTTACTCAACATTTATTCTGTGCTGTGCTGGCTGGCAAAACAAGGCAGAGAAAGGAAGGGAGGGCTGAAACTCTAGGAAGGACCCAAGAAGTGGGGTGCAGGCCCAGAGACTTCTAGGATCATCCAGTGTTTGGGGGATGCTGGTGATACAAGGAGAGCTCAGGCCAGGAGCGGTAAGGCTCTAAGAAGCTGCACCAGCAAGAGCTCAGCTTGAGAACGCGGTGGCACCTCTGTGAGGATGGGCTGTGGAGGGCCCCAACATCGGGCCCCGCCAAGTCCTCTAGATCCCGGTTTTGGACTGGTCAATAAACAGGGCCAGAAGTTGACCTGGGAAGGTTCTGGCTTCTTTCCCATGTACACACCTGTGAAAATAAAAGGGAAAATCCTGATAAATGAGGGCTGAGGCTGTAGCTCTGAGGTAGAGCACTTGCCTAGTATACATGAGGACCTAGGTTTGAGCCCCAGAACTGGCTAGAAAAAAAAAAAAAAAGGACAAAGCTTTTCACAGTGGTGCCAGAAGATCCCGAGGGAGCAGGAGTTTCATGTGACTCTGTGCTGGCTGCCGTCTGGATGTGAACTTTGTCCACCATACCTGCAGGCACGTCGGACAAGCAGACAGGTGCTCTGTCCCCAGAGGCCCAAAGTGCAAAGCCAAGGTGAGGAACTTTCCTCTGATGGCTGTTTGCAGGGTGTAACCTTCTGCTCCTTGCATAGCCACAGAAGAATCTCTACCGCTGTGCAATAAAAGGACAACTTTGCTCACAGAAGCTCCGCCTTCCCTGCCTTTTCTGGACTTATCTGGAGCTGTGGAGGTTTTTGTTTGTTTCCTTTTGTTTTTTTGTGTTTTGAGACAGGGTCTCCCTGTATAGCTCAGGCTGTCCTTGAACTCATTAGGTAGCGAGGGCTGGCTTTGAGCCTCTTGCCTCAGCCTCCTGAGTGCTGAGATTAAAGATGTGCACCACCACGCCCCATGCAATTCCTAAGAGCCCAATGAAGCCCCCTTTCCTAACTGCAGTTCCTAGTACTGTAGACAGCTAAGTTAGTTAGAAATATTATAGGCAGTCAGACAGGGTTGGGCCCTCAAAAGAGTCAGTGCCGAAGAAAGTAACTGTGGCTGGAGGCACAGTCACTGGAAGCCAGGCTTCAAGACCAAGAAAATTGACTACAACTACATACTTCCCTAAAGGGTGAACCGCAGTGACTAATATTCTAATAGGCATCAATCACCTAGGTGGGGCCATCCCTTCCAAAAGAGGTCCCTAACCCGTTCCTTCCCAGAAAGTCCTTGTTCGTCCCAGGCGTGCTTGCTAGGAGACTTGCTTCCCCATCTGATCCCCATTTAATCAATATTATCTAAGCGACCATACTCGTAATCTTCTTAGTTAACTATAGTTTTGTCCCACCTTATACCCACCTCACTTTGTGGCTTTGCTCCATAAAACTCCCTTGAGAAGCAGGGTGAGGGGCCACCCACTTTCCCGGCCTGCTTCTGTCTCTCTTAGAATCTGTCTTTCAATAAATTCTTCTTCCTCTCCTCTTCGACTTCTTCTCTGATTTTAGAGGGCAGGAACTTGGCATGCTGGCCATCTGGCAGGTTGGGAGTTGTATTTCCCTTGCACTGCCTGGAGGTCCATACACCATTCCTGTATCATACGCCTATAGCACCGGGTGTGGACTGACACTCCGCACACACACAGCTGCGGCGGCCTACGGAGGCCAAGGTCAGGTGTGAAGCTGGACTTGCTCACAGCCACCACCTGCGCTTCCAGCTCCGGGTTTCCCGGAAACTTCGGCCTAGCCCAGGAGACCACGCTCACCCTGGGGGCCTGAGGTCCAACTCCAGAGCAGGGAGATGGGGCCTGGCGATTGCAATGAAGTTACCCTGGGCAGGGATCAGGGGCGCAGAGCCTCGCTGTTCACACCAGAGCGGGCGCACGCCAGACCCAGCCCGCGCCAGGAGGGGGCGCCCGGGAGCGCGGGAGGGGCC